GTAAAAGCCATCTCATGGTTGTAAATAAGAAAATCAATCGTTGCCCGTAATGCAGCGTGGATCGAATGAAAATACCGGCCCTGGCAGCAGTGGTGCTCCAAGAGGTCTAATAAAGGCTGCAGTACCACTGTCCCAGCAAGCCACGGGAGTGGTCGCCGATCATGAACGTGGATTGTGTAGCATGGAAGTCCACCCTGTGCATTTCCAAGTTGGGTAGCCACCTGCTCTTGGTACATTGCCATGACGAAATACCAGTTGCGCATGGTGGTAGCACCGCTGGTTCTGTCCAATGAGTGTTTTAAGGCGATGGTTTCGAGATCCTCGATTTCGAACGATGCCTCGCTCACCATCGCTCGTGGAAATCCACGTGAGCGCGGGGGGACCAGCCCTCGTGCACAATGAACATTCCAAAAATAAAAAGAAAAACATGCGAAAGCGCTGTGATGATGATGACTGTGATGATGAGGATGATTATGATGATGATTGTCTAAAGGCATGGCCCACGCTCACTCTGTGTCATTGGCCAGGAAACGAGTAATTAGATGTGCGCAATGAAAGAGTAATTCGAGAGCGGTGGGCCAGTTCATGATAAATGAGAACTTAACGACGACCATCATAATTTCTTAAGTAATGGCACAAAACCATTTTCGAAAAAAGGGCAACAACAAAATGCTATTACTGAAGCAATTGTAAAGAACTTGTATTGTAACAGTATTGTAATTCTCAGAGATTAACGTTCCAAAACCACGAAAAGATTGAGAGTTGGCGTTTATTTGAGAGCTCCGTAATTTTTGAACACGGTTGTGATGCAGCAAATGAAACTGAATGGTCCTCAAGCGACGCTGCCTCTAATGAAAATGCGGCCGTGGCCGCCGCATTGTCACATATGAGAAAGAGCGATAAATAAATGAATAAAATATTGCGCGCTATGTTATAGTCAGAATTCTTCTAATAAAAAAAATAAATATTTTTAATATAAAAATAAATTAAGCGACAAAAACTAAGTCTAATAGTAATTACCAAATTAAAATATATATAGACATCGTGCTATACACCCATAAAAGTGCGAGATAGGTACCGAATACAGACAAGCCGTACACCTTTTCCGGCTACCAACATCGTAAATATAGGTATAATACATTTTTTTCACAAATGCATATAGTTTAACGTAGGAAATGATATTGTTTATTATGACAGACAAGCTTCAACAGATGCCCAAAGCTATGTAGTTATTTTTTTTCCCGCAGGACACGCAGAGTGTGATTGCTGCCTTGGATGTGTAACTTAGTGAGCCAAATGTGACCTTACGAATGAACGCACTCCTGGTTGTGTTTGACATGACTGAAAAAGACTGAGCAGCAGCTGATCGTCAGACCATTAAAGGACCAGAAAGGATTACCACCTACAGGCCTAGTGAGATCACTAAGAGCCAAAGTCTTACCTGGCAGTGACCTCTTAAACAAAAAGCGCACTGTTTGCACTAGCGACGCAAGTATGGAGCTATAATTAAGCGGCTAGTATTCGTCGTACATATATGTTTCGATCATATTTACGCTTTTTCCAGTGATGCCAAGCTTACTAGTAGCTCTATACATGGCTATACAGGCGTAAGTTCTTGAGGCCTGTGTGCTTAGATTTAGGTGCACGTTCAAGACCCCCCCGGTGGTGGAAATTTGCGTACAATTCATTACGGCGTCTTTCATATTCATATAGTCGTATCAGTACATTAAATTCGACAGGCATATAAATATATAGTGAAAATAATCAGAGAGATCAGCTTCAAAGCTGGCGTAGTATTCACGGAGAAAACAACCACTAAACACTTTGGAGACGTAGATTTCGTAGGTCATAAGTAGTTGAACCTAATCACCTTCATGAAGAGAATGGTCTGGCGCATCATTATGGTGTAATGTTCATAAACTACAAGTCTTGAAGATGATGCCGGGGTTTGATGGTAGTTGACTGAATCGGCATTTAATACTCATCAAAAAACTACAAGGCAACACATACCATCAATAAGCGTTTATTCATCCCACGTTCATTGATAAAGAGTGGATGTTGCCATTCCCTGGCCACCGTACATGACAGGCTGATTCACTGACCGCAACAATACACAGATGCACCGGGACCTTGCTGCTCCAGCCAGGATGGCGTACTTGAGCGGTGACGTTGCTGCATGATACCGTGGTCCATGTTACCTACGCAGAGGAACAACTCCTCGGGCGAGGTCACGCAGCACGAGGACGCGACGTCATAGGCACGCCAAGTTTCCGCCAGATGATCCTGGAGCAGTTTCAGTTGTGCGCAGTGCGTTAGGAGACAGAGTTTCACCAGCTGCTTGTCCCATGCCACTTCAAACTCGATGTCGTAGCAGAATCTTGGTAGCTTCAAAGGTATCATGTCGTGTTTCTGAACAGGCTTAGCTGTAGTGGCAAGTGCAGTAAGGATGGAATGAAAGTACTGGCCGCGGCAGCAGCGCACCATGGTCTCCACTGGAGGCGACAGTCCTGCCGTGCGAAGTAATGTTGGCGGTGTGACAACGTGGCCTCGGCGGTGGTCACCGGTTGTAGAGCGTCGAGTCGCGCCCGGTCCTGTTCGGTCTTGTGTGGCCATCCAGACCATGCACTGGGGCACCGCTGAAGAGAGGTTGTACGAGGCAGGTGGGAGGGAACACAGCACGTCTTCTTTCAGGGACTTGTTTTTTCGAACGCTTCACAATTTAGAATGGCGGCTCGCTCAGCTCGCTCGCGCTGGAGCACGAGAACACGCGTCACCTGCTCTCGCGCAATTGAGACGCCGAAAGGTAAAAGAAAAAACAACAAAACAGAGAACCAGATAGTGCAGAATGAAAACAGGGACTGCGGAAGATGCTGTAGCGACGCGGAGGTAGACAGGCTACTAAATCAAGCGTATTTATTAGAATGAACTTGTGCCCACAGAAATAATGGTTATGGTCATCGAAGTCCGAGTAGTTGGATTATACAGATCCAACTGTCTTCCTCTTTTTCGTAGCCAGAGCGCACGAGAAGGTGGTGCATGCCAAACCGGTCTGGCATGATGCTTGTGCCGTGATGGTAACGGTAGGCTACTTGAACCTGGTCAACTTATAGTGGAATTATAGTCACGTGACAGTGGACCAGAGGGTGCGACGAAACTTTTTGGGCCGCCTCAGCATTGTTTGTACTGACCGCCAGGGATACCAAGAAAATGAAACGCTTGCTGAACACAGAGAAACGCTGAAGCGTCAGTGCCTTTTTTGGCACGTTTTCAAAGAACGCTTCCTAGGCGCTTACATAATCAGTCCTCAACCCTCTGTTCACCACTAAAAATTGACGGCAGATCCACGAGGTGAATGATGATGAGATTGGGCGAAGCTCCTGGAAGTAATACCGTGAAACTTTCTTCCGTTAATTCGCCTGGCGATATGCGCGCTTTCTCGTCGCTTCCCATTGTCGAAAGCTTTCAAGATCTGCTTCGCGACATTGACGTCCTGCCTCGGCCTGTGGTTTCCGTACGGAAAGATCTTGCCGACGCTGACGTGCCGCTGCAGCTTCTTGTTCACGTTCGGTGGGATCTTGCCGACGCTGACTTGCTGATGTGGCTTCCTGTTTCCGTACAGCAGGATCTTACCGACGGTGACGTGCCGCTGCAGCGTCTTGTTCATGTACGGCGAGATCTTGCCGATGCTGCCTTGCTAATGTGGCTTCTTGTTCCGGTACAGCAGGATCTTGGCGGGGACGTCGCGCACCTTCCCGGCGCGCTTCTGCATGGCGTGCTCTCACTTCAGGGTCCTGTCTGCGAGCGCGCGTCGCCACTGCCCTGCGCGCCCGCCTTTCGGCATCCTATGTTTGCAAAAGACTTCGCGCTGTGTCATGTCTATTATTAACAGAAGATACAACATGCCGTTTTCAGTACGTAAGATGATAGCACATGCTTTGGGTTACAGTATACTGCGTTACGGAATAACCATTTATGGACAGTGTGCTGTCTGATGGCACAATAGAATAAATAGAATATTGCGTTCGATGTTAAAAATTTTATCTTATGACCTGAACATGAATTCTGAGAGAGACATTTTCAAAACGCTGTTTATGCCAAACTTCAATGATCTGTTGATTCAAACGGTTGTTTTAAAACATTTCTGGTCCAAAGAATTCCCGGTTCCGTATGTTACTTCTCGTTCTTTAGGGCCCTAAATACGCTACTGGAGGCCACAGCGTTCAACAAAGTATGGAACTAGAATACGAGCTTATTAAGTTCCAACCTAATTCAATGTACTACCGCCCAGCATTTTTCGCATAAAAACAAAATACAAATTAAAGAAACTGCTACGGCGTATCTGTCTACAATTGTAATGCATGTCGTGTGTTATTTCATATACACTCATCGGCAAGCATGATGCTGCACAATCATTCAGTGGGGTACTTTGCTTGAGAAACATTTGCTGTAATTCTGTTCTTCTTTCCTTTATATCCTTTCACTTTCAATTGCTGTAACTATTGTATAATGATTGTAACTATTGATGGTATGCCCTGTTGTTTCTAATCTTATATACACGTTGTTTTTTGTCCTATCATCCCTCTTGGGCCATGAAATACAATCTTGTAACGTGTCCGGTTGGTTTCGCTGTCTGCCAGGCTCTGCCACTCAAGCCACCAATTGGCTTTGGCAGGCCTAGTCACATGTACTGTTTTATTTAAAGAATTATTAGGTAATATAATAATATTAATATTATTATCCATACGAGTACACACCGATGGCAAC